TGTGTTCTTTTTTTTTTTTTTTTGCCATTTTATGACATTTCACGGAGCAAACAACAACTAATCGATTAATCCATTACGTTCAACAGATTAATCGACAATAAAAATGATTGCTGCTCTATTTCATAGAGAAAGTTGTCAGTTCTTGCACGCTAATCACCATAAGAACATATACTTGTATTCAAAATGAGGATTCTTAAATATCATGTAAGTTTCTTAAGTGTCTGTTCTCTCCACATTTAGGAAGGTCTTTCAGCACCAGCCAGGCTTCATCCATGATTCCTGCTTTCAACCGACCCTTCAGTACTCGTCATCTAGCCAGGTAAGCTCTTCACAACACTAACCCATTTCATCTCTTCCCGTCCTGTTGGCCGACTTCACACAAAAGCACCATCATGCAATCAAATCCAGCCAAGACTTTAGCATTTGATCCTCCTCTACCCCTACCCCCCCTCCCTCCTCCAATATTAACTGCCTTTCATCACTGTCAACTGAGGCCTGTAAAGCCCGAAGTAATCTTTTAAAATTAAAATGAGCATATGGTGGATACATTTACCCAACGCTCCTCAAAGGGTTTTAAAACTCCAATCATATATAATTTGTCCTCTCTAGTTACCACAAACCGCTTGTGATTGATTTGTTGATACCTGTGGTTTGTCTGTGTTTGCTGGAACAAGCCGGGCAGTCCAACGGAGCCTCGCCATAATCCGACATGCTCGTCAGAAGAAGCAGCCGAAGCAGTACTGCATGTACTACAACCGCTTCGGCAAGTGTAACCGTGGCAACAGCTGTCCCTACATCCACGACCCAGACAAGGTGGCTGTCTGCACTAGGTAACATAAATGCACAACAACGCCACATTTTGTCACACGTTGAAGTTCGGGCTGGTGAACAGCACAGAGCGGGGAGGTTAGAGTTCTGATCGCTGGTCTGCAGTAAAGATGGATAATCTTTTTCCATTGCCAGTGTACCCACTGTACGCCAGATAGTTAGTTCAGGTGTCACGGGTGCAGGAAGTCTTGTTCATTTTCTTACGCTCCGTGACTGCATGTCCCCTGATTAGCTTGGGATCTTTATTGCATGCCTTGTCTCTCTCCTAGTTAAAAAAGTTGAATTTTAGTGACATAAAGGTCAGTGCAATAGCATCAGTAAACTCCTGTTTGTTTATTCTCCCTATATAAAGCATATTCCTTCAACTTTGTTCCTTTTTTTTCCCTGGGCATCGACACCCCACCTACAGTGGCTCCAACAGTCCTCACAGTTGAGAACCACTGTCCTAAACGTAATAAGAAAAAAATCGCTTTATTAAATATCAAACCAGAAGATAAAGTAAAATATGCATATGTCTCTGATACAAAACATGTCTAAAAGGGATTTGTTTTTAGGACAATGTGTGCTTTAACATGCATGTGCAACAAGATCATACTTGATACAAACAAATACATTCACTATACCAAACTGAGTAAACTGGTAAAAAAACACAATTTTTAGGAACAAAATCAATTAACCTACAATTAAATTACACATGACACACTCTATTGAGGAACATTGAGTAAATCATTAAAAGAAAACTTTCAAATGGTAAGTTAATGATGGACAGAAACTCTTCTACACAGCACTATTAGCTGCATTCTCAGGCTTGTTTCTGTCGTTTATGTGCAGGTTTCTGCGAGGGACGTGCAAGCAGGCAGATGGTACCTGCCCATTCTCCCACAAGGTGGCAAAGGAGAAGGTACACATGCACACATACACTCACATACACCCGGCCTATGTGTTGGACAACATAGTGTTTTATGGGTTTTCATTGCAAAGCCTAGGATTGGGTACAGTGTGTGGGTATAAGATGACACACTATTGGGGACAGTCGTCGTGGATCGTATTTGCGTTCTTGGCGTGGCTCCTGTTTCCATGACACAGGAAAGACTTGACCAGATGGGGAGTTCAGAGAAGGACTTATGGGTAAATGAGCTTGTGACTGAGGGTCACCTGTTGGATCTACTGACCGACAGGATGAATCTGTGTGTGTTGCTTTCTCCTCCCTCATCACCTCCTTCCTTGTGAATGTGTGTAACACTGCTGGAAACATTTGTTATGATTGTTTTTTTTTTTAAATGTGACAGTTCAGCATAGTCTTGATCTGGTTTGCTCATACAGCAACGTTACATAACCTTAGTACACCTTATCCTGCTTGGGAGCGACAGCTACTCAGTTAAGTGAAGTGCAGTCAGCGTCTTGTTGCTCGTGCTAACGCACTGTACACAGTTTGTAGGTGCGAGCGAGCAAGCAACACCCTGGGCATCGACCAAAAGTGACGCTGGAAAATAAATTATAACCATATTTTAAGAATAATATTACTAACTGAAATGTTCCTATATTTTATTTGAACCATTGACTCCATGCTACTAACTACTTTGCCCTTTACAAATCACCCAACATATCACAATATGTTTTTGGGCAAAAATACCCATTAGTCTGTTTGCACAATTAAAGGCTGTGCAGAGAATCCTGTTATTAGCAGATTTTAGGTCATTGTTGCTCGACCTTCAAGGAAGTTGTTCCTGCATGCAGCTTCAATAAAACTGTGCCTCCTCAAATTCAAATTGATCATTTGGACGAACTGTGTGTGTGTTTTTAACTTCTCTTGCCCGTCTAGGGGAAAGTGTAGCGACTCAAAAAGGAAAAGCTTTTTATTTTTTTCTTGAGACAAACAACCCTACAACAGGTGCCCTGCCTCACCCTGCACACACACACACACAATGCCCTGCACCTGTGTTGGTTGTCACACTGCTGCCTGTAAGTGCTGAGAGCCCAGCTGTCTGTTTGTAATGCCACCTCTCCAACAGCCCCCCCTCACCCCCAAACCTTTGGCCCATCCCTCCACAGGATACTCCCGCTCTTATTACATGTGGAACCCTTAAACAGGACAGTATGGGGGTCTTGGGGAGAAGTGGGGAGGGGGAGGGGGGTAACTGGGTTATACACCCAGCAGAACCTGATCCAGACACTACTGTGGATAGGCGAGCCCCAGTCCTGAGTCCTGCCCCTCACCCTGCTGTCCCCCCACTACCACAAATACCTTGTAACGAGACACCACCGAGCCTACACCCCTGGCATTACCCTCCAACACACCCGGGAACACCAACCCTGCTGCTCCCCCCTCCCTCCACCACTGCCCTAGTCTGCGCAC